TAGGGAAAGGAATTCTTGTCTGGGGCCCCAGTATCTGGCCCAGGCCTACTTGAGAGTGTTGGGAAGTTCACCAGACCATTCCCCATCTTTGTCCTGCCTTTGGAGGGGGAGTGGTGGCCGCTCAGAGACAGGGATGGTGAGGACGAGGTTCTCAGTTCCCTTTCCCCAAGCCTGGCCTGTCTGACTCTTCCCCACTGCCCTGAGAGCCCCGAGGTGATAGTGGGCCTAACCACAGTGGAGTTGGAGTCTGAGGCTGGTGGAGAGAGCCCCCAGGAAGCAGCCCCTGGAGCTGAACCCTGCTGGTTTGGAGCTCACAGGCCAAGAGGGGTGTGCCCTCTCCTCTCACTTCTGTCCTTGGGATCCTACCTCAGTCCTTTCCAGCCATAACCCCAGCCCCCTGATCCAGAGCCTGGGGCAAGCCACACACCTCCCTGCAAGCATGTGACCCCTCCAGATCTGAAAACCAGGATCCTTGAGACCCTAACCTCAGAGAGAGAGGAAAGGAGAGGGAGGGAGAGGGAGAAAAGGGGGAAGAGGAAGAGAAAGAGAAGGGGAGAGGAGGAGGGTGAGACTTCCTCCCATAGAGCCACACTCTTCCTGTCCACCACGTCTCTGCACCTGGTACAGACCTGCAGGACAGGACCTTAAGGGCAAGCCAAGCCCCAGCTATTGCCCGGCTCCCAGGCCCTCAACATCAATGGAATTCAGGGCCCACTGGGAAGGCCGCCCTACCTCCTTGGGCTGCCATGAAGGGGAGGAATATGAATCCGAGAGCAGAGGGCCTTGTTCCCAGAACCTTTACACATCAAAGTGGAGAGGACATCCCACAGCCTGCTGGCTTACCTCTGCCCACCGTTGCCATCCTCCTCTCCTGCCTGGCCTGTACCTGCTGCCTTGTGGGGCTTTGGCCTGATTGGTTGGCCTTAACAGGCTCGGTGCACTGCAAGGTTAGGTGCCTGTGAAGGGACACACGCTGTCACCCAGTGTTCTGTTGTTTTCTTTCCTTCTTCCAGATAGCCTGCTCCTGGCCACCCTCCCAAACCAGTCCAAGTGGCCCACCAACCGTGGCCCCTCCGTCACTTCCACCTCTCTCCCCCAGGGTGCCCGTGTGTGGTGACTGGGATTTCTGGACTCCTGGGAGCTCACATCCACAAGCCTCTCAGACCCCTCCTGCAGAGCAATTGGGTGTATGTTGGGTTTCTTTCTCCACCTTCCAGGACACTTGGTGCTCCTTAAGGGCAGGAACCCGAATTAGGGAACTCCATCCAGCTCGGACCTGCTCAGGTCAGGCCGACTGGCACCCAGCTCTTGCTGACTATTGGTTGAATGAGTTTCCCTCCCTGGAGTGGGATACAAAAGATGGAGTAATGTGAGGGGAATGGCTTGGGCTGTACTGCTCCCTCAGAAGAAAAGGGATGATGGGAACCTGAAAGTCGAGGAACTCAGGGGCAGTGGTGTGGAGGCTGAATGGAAGAACCCTACCCTGACAGCCTAGGCTCTACTCTTTCTACCTGAGTGCGATTCACCCCCGTGGGCCTGCCCACCCGTCAGCTGGGCCAGCTCTTCTCCCCTGCTCCACCAGGGTGTGCCTGGCCTGAGTCTGATCTGCACCCCACCCATGTCTGAGTCCCTGTTCGCTGCCCTGAGGCCAGGGTCAGGCTTATTCCATCTCCCGTGGGAGGAGAGGGGAATATGCTACCACAAAACTGCTTCGCCCTAGTTTAGGGGCTATTCCGAAGAAGAGGGA